AGGGGAGGGTGAGGTAGCTGGCCTGCCTAGTGTTGTGCCGGTGCCGCTGGCTAGCCCGCTGCCCCAGCGTACCTTTGAGGTACTCCGGCTGCTCCGACACAAAGATACGCTCGACAGCACTCACTGTGTGGTATGTTACTAAATCCTTGGCAGTCAACCACTTCAGCTGCTTGATGACAGCCGCCACGCTATCACGTCGTCGCCGACCGGACACAACGCGTGCACAAAAGTTTATAACTTTTTGCAGCCGTCCTAACTGCACCTCACCACACGAGCCGTACACCGACAGACAGTACCGCAGCACAGATACAACCAGGGCTTCAACTATCGGCTTCAGTGCTGACCGCGGTATAACGTGACGAGCGTGCAGTAGCGCTGTCAGCATCCCGGTACATTTCCGCGCCACACCGTCTACATGGGACACAAAGCTGAGGGGACGGTCGATCGTCACTCCTAGATTTTTAACAGTTTCTGACTCTGTAATGGTGGTAGAGCAGAAAGTCAGCGTGACAGGCGGCAAATTGCGAAGCATCGCTGGGGTACCGATCACAAGCATCTGTGTTTTCGCAGCATTAAGTCTCATTCCATTGTGGCAGAACCACTGATACATTCGACCCAGTGCATCCTCCATACGCGCGGTCAACAGATTCAAGTCGCTCTTCTTGCCAGTAACCATCAGCTGGGTGTCATCAGCATACTGGATTACCGTGACGTCATCGGGAACACACAGACACAGATCGTTTGAGTACAGCATGTACATGAGACAACTCAGGGCGCCGCCTTGGTATACGCCAATCGCGTTAGCCTTGCTGTCCGACAGCAGTGTCGAACCGTCCGCGCACCTCACTTGGACCTGCTGCGAGTGGTGAGCCAAATAGGCACGGAACCATGTGGTTTCGATACCGTACACAGACAATTTGTCGAGAAGTGTAACATGAGGAACAACATCAAAACATTTTGAGAGGTCTAGTAGTACCAAGATACAAATGTTACCATTGTCCATTGCCTGAAGAGCATGATCAGTAAAGACGTGAAGCGCGGTTTCCGTTGAACGTTGTTTTCTATAACCGTGTTGGGCGTCCGAGAGAAGGAAACTTTCTTCGAGATAAGAGACCAACTGTTTTTGCACGACACGTTCAACTAATTTCATAATCGCAGGCAGGATGGAGATGGGACGCGTGTCGGACGGCTCGGTAGCCCTCGTTCCTTTCGGAATTGGGGTAACCAGAGCGTGTTTCCAGTCCTGCGGTACTACTCCGTTAGAAAGGCTGGAGTTCACAACATCCAAAACCGCATGGCCAATCCCGGGAAAGAACTTCTGTAACATGCGCACACTGACACCGTCCTTGCCAGTCGACATAGATGGTTTCATCGACAGCAATGTGGCATAAAGAGTGTCCAAATCGGTAGGTTGCACCTCAAACGCACACGTCAAAACTCTCGGGAGTCGCGTGGGCACACGTACAGTAGCGGCGGGGACACTGGCTGCAGTGGAAGGACCGATCGCAACATAATAATCATTCAATGCATTCGGCGTGATTCTCGGTATCTCGCAGGACTGCTGCTTCCTGCCCACGACCGGCCGTAGCACTCGCCACAGCCCGCCCCGGTCACCGCGGCTGATAGCACCAGCATACCGCGCGCGGGTCTCGTTCCGCACGGCGGCGCGGTACAGCCGGTTCACCCGTTTGTAGTCGGCTCGATCGCCCCGAGCTAAGGCCGCGCGGCGGGACTGCAGCAGCTGCTGGGTCTCGGCTGACACGGGTGGCGCAGTCACCTGCCTATCACGGACGCGTTTGAGCGGTGCGACAGCATCCAATCGTTCAACGAACGTGTCACGGAAAACACCAACATGCCTCCCAGTGACATGAATTATGAATATCGCCTTTCGACGCCGGTAGGCGCCCCAGACACCAGTGGATTTACTGCCGCCTTAAAACACCGATAGGCACCTCAGTGAAGCGAATGCCGGCCTATACCACCGATAAGCGCCCCGGATGAATAAATACCACCCGTCAACGCCGATAGGCGCCTCAGTGAAATTAATGCCGCCCCAATCTCCGATAGTCGCCCCAGGTGATAGGTACATGTCGCCCATCAACACCAACGGGCGCCCCATTGAAATGAATACCGCCCTTCAACACTGGCAGACGCCCCAGTGGAATGAATGCCGCCCCACAATGCCGATGGCCCTGCACTGGAAAATCAGTTTCGCCCCTATACAGGCGCCCATATAAGTTTGCAGAGTGCTATTCCTGGTCATAATCATCTCCCCAGTAAAAAAAAAACGCAAAATACGCCCTAGCACTAGGGCCCTAACACTAGGAAAACGGCTATCAAATGCAAAATGGTTTTCACGCATTTCAGTCCATCGTATGTTGACGGTCCAAAGAATCATTTCGTTGACTCGGATAACCGTTTGTCGGCACTGGTATCACTGTTAATGTTACCAAATGCCGTAAATAGAATAGTACGCCGTTTTATAAGATTGGGCCTAGGGGTGTAACCGCCCATACGGACAGTGCAATTTTACAGGCCCCAATCTCGGACCTCCCTTAACATTCATATGTTGTAAACGGCAAACCGCCCCCGAAAAATGTTACACAAACTAATTTCCTCTCGCATATCGGCCATCAGGCGCCCCTTTTTGTCGCATGGAGCCTGCAACGCTATAAGCCCTCGGCCTCATGTGTTCGTGTTGGCGTTCGGAGACTATCGCCTTCAAAGACGTCTCCATAAATGTTTCTTTTTCGTCCCACACACAGGCGCCCCTCTTTCGCATGCAGGCGCCCCTCTTCGGCATGGCGCGCTTCTCGAGTGGCTGCGCCCTCCTAGCCTTTATCGCCTGGCAAGATTATATTCGACAGGGTCGGCAGCATCTGCCTTTGTTTCAGATAAGGACGCCCTCCACTCTTCAGCATATCAAAAGATACTTTTCCCACGTCATTGCCACCCTCTTCGTGTCACAAGTGCCTTTATCAGTTGCGGTGTCGCACTGCTCAGCTTTATGGCTGCCGCACCTCTTAACTTCCTGCCTCCTCTACAGATTTTCGAGGCGCCCCTTTCCATAGCTTTAGGGTGCAGCTGCCCCCCTTGCCCCCCTGCTTCCGCCGCCACTGACAGCAGCCATACAGCCGCTACCCCTGTGTGGGTCCCCATGCGTTCAGTGAGGCGTGACGGTTGAGTGAACCGTGCCGTGCAGATGGAGCAGCCGTACGGCCGCTCCCAGTGTGTGTCCGCATGTGTTTAGTGAGGCGTGACGGTTAAGTGAACCGTGCAGTGCAGATATAGCAGCCGTACGGCCGCTCCCAGTGTGGGTCCGCATGTGTTTAGTGAGGCGTGACGGTTAAGTGAACCGTGCAGTGCAGATATAGCAGCCGTACGGCCGCTCCCAGTGTGGGTCCGCATGTGTTTAGTGAGGCGTGACGGTTAAGTGAACCGTGCAGTGCAGATATAGCAGCCGTACGGCCGCTCCCCTGTGTGGGTCCGCATGTGTTTAGTGAGGCGTGACGGTTGAGCGAACCGTGCAATGCAGATGGAGCAGCCAAACGGCCTCTTCCCAGTGTGAGCACCTATGCATCTGTTTGGTTAGGTTCGACAGCGAAGCGAAGCGAACCGTGCCGTGCAGGTTGAGCAGCCATATGGCCGCTCCCTCGGGTGGGTAGGCATTTGTTTCATGAGACTTCTCCGTTGAGCGAACAAAGCCCGGCAAGTTGAGCACTAAGCAGCCTTACGGCCGCTCCTTCGTGTGGGTACGCGTGTGTTTGCTGAGACTTCCTCGTTCATTGAACCGGGCCTGGCAATGTGAACAGCCGTACGGCCGCTCCCCAGTGTGGGTTCGCATGTGCGTATTGAGGTGTGACCGTGCCTTGCAGATGGAGCAACCGAAAGGTCGCTCTCCAGTGTGGGTCCGCATATGTGTCGTAAGGGTTTGCTGTTTAGCAAAGCGTGCTGTGCAAACGGAGCAACCGTAAGGCCGCTCCCCCGTGTGGGTACGTAAGTGTTTGTTGAGATCTCCCCGCCTAGCGAACCGAGCCTGGCAATGTGAACATCCGTGCGGCCGCTCCCCAGTGTGGGTCCGCATGTGTCTGGTGAGATTTGACCGTTCAGTGAACCGTTCCTTGCAGATGGAGCAGCCGTATGGCCGCTCCCTAGTGTGAATCCGCATGTGGTTGTTTAGGCTTGCTCGAACAGAGAACCGTGCGAACGGAGAACCGTGCAGTGCAGATGGAGCAGCCGTACGGCCGCTCCCCAGTGTGAGTCCGCATGTGTATAGTGAGGGCGGACGGTTTCGTGAACCGTGCCGTACAGATAGAGCAGCCGTATGGCCGCTCCCCAGTGTGGGTTCGCACGTGTGTGGTGAGGTTGGACCGTCCTGTGAACCGGGCCGTGCAGATAGAGCAGCCGTATGGCCGCTCCCCAGTGTGGGTCCGCATGTGATCGGTGAGACCTGACCGCCTAGAGAACCGTGCCTTGCAAATGGAGCAGCCGTATGGCCGTTCCCCTGTGTGAGTTCTGCGGTGGTTTTTCATACAGTCGGACCTGTCGGTCGAGTATTGACACCACTTGCACTTCAATCTGCCGTTCCTGCCCATATGGCCGTGACTTCTCTTCACGTGTCCGTCCAGACAATGTTTTCCCAAACATCTGAAGCCGCATTGGGGACATTGGACCGAGCCATTGATGCCTAAAGAATACACAGAAAGAAGGCCATTAAAAAAAAACGTTCCATGCTAAAGCAGGTCGCATTATGTGACCTGCTTTAGCATAGAACGACCTAACCCGGTTAGGTCGCAAGCCGAAATGCCAGTTCAAGTTACGAACCGAGCCCATGTAAGTTGGCATATAAACGTCGTGCCTGCATACGTCAAAGTAGCAGAACTTCTCAACGAACCGGGCAAAAAAAAAAAACAGTCTACTGTCAGCAGAAGGGTAAATGGCATTAGCAGCGTCACTTCGATGGACACCATAGCTCTCGGAGCCGCTAACGATGAACTGACCTGAAGATGAAGGTCCGGCCGGAGAGGAAGTCACAGACTCCTCAGACGTCTCCGAGTGGACGGTCGGTTCCCGGGCCGAGTCGTCTCCGTAGTACACCAGCAGCTCAGAGCCCCGCGGAATGGCCTTTGACGTCCTGCATAGGGAGATAAATATAGCATTATTGATGAAAGCTTGATTGGTGTAGTCACAACACTTACACAGTCATTAATAACTTCGACGAATCCATTAAAGAAAATTTCGGGCCACAGGACGAACCACGCATAAAATACGTAACGCAGTTAGGAAGAATAGATCCGTGGATTCCAAGACTACAACGCACCTGAAGTATACCTGGCCCCGGTACTGGAAGGCCACTAGGTTTTGTTCTTCCTCCGAGCGGGCACAGTTGACCCTTCTGAGCCAGTTGCTGCAGCTCGGGTCTTCGGCATTCACCGAGTGATGCACGCGCTTACCCTTCTTGATCTGTGGTACCAAACAAAAACGTAGTTCATCATTTCAAAGAACAACGTAAAAATATGGCATGTGCAATGAAAACATAAAATCTACATGTTGCTAACATTGGTCTAAAATGTTTTTAAAGGGAGATAATGAGCTTTCTTTTTTCTTAAATAAAAATTATTCGACCTTCATGTTATTTTTACTGCAGTTTATTAAAAAGATAAACAATTTCTGGCACATTTTCGTATGTGAAAGCCGTTTTTATTTTTACAAAAAAATAAGCAGTATTTGCAGTACTTGCAAAACCCACTGAAATGCTGTGTCCTTCTCTTTCAAAAAGTCGCAGTGTACGGCGCTTTTGTTTCAAACAATGACGCGTTATTCCCATAGCCGTGCGTTATTGTGGCCATTCAAATCAGATGGAACGCAGCTACGAAATTTATGTCATCCGGTACACATGTATTTCGACCCACTCGTATTCTAAGAAAGGTAATGTATTTGCATCAATATATCAAAAGAATCTTTTGACATACTGACTAATTTTAGTGGTACTAAACATTTCAAATATTGATTTATTTTTACTCACCGATTTTACTTAAACCTGCAAGTACTTGTTCACCCATCACTACCAAGCGCGGAGCGCTTGAGCTACTTCAACTTAAAAAAACATGGTAATTTTGTGCTTTCGGCAAAATGCAATGAATTTACATTATATCTATACATTTTCTACTAAAAAATGGTCCCAACTCCAATAAAGTGGGAAAAGGTCATAATCTACCTTTAATAGCTTTTATCGTTGAAGTAAGTCTAAAGTGAAAATATGCGTTTTTTACCTGCAAAACAAAACAACTGAACTGACCTGCCATCTGTACCCGGTTGTTCGAGTTCGGGCCTGACCCTGCTCGGTGGTCAAGGTTCCCTCGTAGGGACCGAGTCTTTGGCGCGCAGGTATGTCCTTCTCCGCCAAAACTCCTGGAATCAAATAAATACTAATAAATGTCAGTGCATAACATTTACACTCAAGTCATCTCCTGTTCGCGCCGTGTACAGACTGGATAGTCATGAGCTTACTCGCTGTCATGAGGTGCGTGATCTGGGTGTTATATTGGACGCGAAGCTTACGTTTGCTCAGCATGTCGATGTGACCGTGCGGAAATGCAAGAAAATGTTGGGGATGATTATGCGAGGTGTCCAACTGCCTCGGTGTCCCCGGCGGGTCAAGTTTGACCATAGTGCGCTGATCGCCGCGTACAATGCCCATGTTCGCTCCATTGCTGAGTATGGCAGCGTTGTGTGGAGTGGCGCAGCAGTAACACATCTGGCGCGGCTCGAGCGCATGCAGCATCGCTTCTTGTCTTGGCTGGCATCCAACACCCACGGTCGCGACCTGCCCATGAGTTATGAGACGCTTCTTGTTCGATTTGGCATGTGTTCTTTGAAATCGCGCTTTATTCAAGCCGATCTCCGCCTGGTTTTGGGATTGCACCATGGACGGATCGACTGTCCTCACCTTCTGAGTCTGTTTGGTCTGTCGGTCCCTAACAGACGTTCTCGGCAGCCAGCACTGTTTCATGTCGCATTCGGCAGAGTGAACACTGTAAAGTCGGGACTTTTCATTCGCATTCCTGTGCTATGCAACAATTTTCTACAGAAAATTCCGAATGCAGATATGTTGGCTCCGTCGAACTGCATCCATTCTGATGTGTGTGATTTCGCTCGTTCTCAGGGTGCTTACATCTGAGACAATGTATCGTGCTTTGTAGTAGTATGTAGTGTTTTTTTTTTTTGTATTTTATGGGCATGACTGCCACTGTAAATGGGCCGCTGGGTCTGTGGTTGGCTTGGCACAATACACAATACACAATAAATACAAGCCTTCACCTCAACTAAATGGACACAACATGTACTGATACATGGGACATGGAATTATACAATACAAGCAACCATCACCAAATGATGCATCAAACGTCCAGCAGCAGTTGTTACGCATCGTCATTTGTCTTGCCTCATTAACTTACCGGTGCCAGACGCTGGATTTGTCGACTGACCAGAGCTGAGAGAAGGCGGCAGGGTCTTGACGTCCCTGTCGACATCTCCGATACCGGGTCGTGCCTGGAATGTTCAGCGAATGTGGGCCGCAATGTCGACAATACAATCCACGCATTGAGATTATCCTAAGCCTGTTTGTAAATCAGACGGGTATGTTTTGTGGATCTAGATCATGAACCTGTTCTTGACCACGCACCCATGACAGTATTACCTGCTAACAAGACAGTAGCAAAGCAATAATATAACTATGGGGAAGAGGATTACGTAAATGTGAAAGAAATAGATCATTTTTACATGAAGCTCATGTCGTTCCGTCACTAGGGCATCAGGCACAATTGGTCATATTATTTAATGTCTAAATGTGAGAGGAGTCATGTGTATCAGACCAGTATGGACCAGTCCTTACCTTGGTATCGTGTATTATCTTTAGCGGTCCATGGACGGGACATTCACCGTCCCAATCGCGGCAGCACACGTCACAAACTGTCAGAAAGAATGGCGAAAAAATTATTAGCGATTTGATGAAGAGCAGACCAAGGTTTAATCGTTCAAGGTTCCGTTAGACGGAAACAATGCGTCTGTATTCGGTTTAATTTGTCTGCAATATGAGTGCTTATCGTGTACATTCGTCCGTTGATGAGGACAAGGTAGCTGACTAAAATCGGGAGAATACTCACATATGTTGCTATCATCGAAACCGTCCACATCACGGTAGTTAATGACGAGACGTTGACTCTTGATGAACACTGTATCAGCAAAAACTGCAATAAATTCAACAGGGTAATAAATAATTCGGTGGCATTTCGGTAACGCGTCAGTTTAATAGAGTGCATGCAATTGAACATAAGAATGGTTCGATAATGCCATTCAAACACTTTGTAGTTTGTAGAGTACGAAACCAAAAATAAAAATAAAACTTACATTTTCTCTGAAAAGGGCACAAAAGGAAGACCGAGGATATCACGATAAACCCATTGCTTACAGTCTCTTCACAGTTATATAAACTTACCTTCAGTAGAGTCTCGAATGGCAGACGAACAACCAAGTAACAGACTCCTTTTTGCATTGGAGATGAAACAGGCACTGAAAGAACAGACAAATGCAAATATTATTAGAATTCATCAAGGATAATATATCATTGTCTACTATGTCAAATAACAACTAAAATTTCAACAACAGCACTGAATCATGCCCTAACCTGTCCCGGTCCACCTCAGTGAACCCGATGAAGTCCTCAGACGGTGACGGTGATCGAGGTCGGTACTTTTCCTCCTTCACTAAAGAATGCAGAGCGAGGTCCGAGAAAGGATCGTCGTCCGACACCGAGGGAGACGACGGCCGCTCAACCTAGACCGGATCAACAGACAAACAATATTCAATGAAACATGAGATGTTTATCCTCCACAGATATACAAATTGGAACACATTATGCGCTGTCATTCCCTTTTATTAACCTCGCAGCTAAAAACCAATGAGAGGTGAGCACCATGCATTTGAACACTTACCCTTGGTGAAGTGACTTCAATCTTTATCTCCTCCTTCACAACTGGCCGAAAGTCGCTCTCAGAGCCACTATCTATGGGAGTGCAGTTCCTCGGCCTCTGAGACTTCCTCACACTCTGTGACGGACCCCATTCCCCGTCGCTGTCAGCGGAGCCCTGCAGAGACCACTTTGGTCCTTTTGGTGACATTGATGCAGCCCGCATGAGCGGCAGTAGTTCAGACACTGGTGGATCTGGAATAGAGTCCAATGTCCTTTGTCAGTTCACATTGAGTTGACTAGATGAAAGCACAAAACGGAGAAGTTATGTAGCAAGAAAATACAAAGTTGCAGAGTTATCACCACCAATAATTGAATAATTTCTTATGGAATTAATACCCATAAAACATCTCTCAATAATGACAATGACATGGTTTGCCAACAAGAATGCAGCAGGAAAATAATGGAGGTGCTCCTATATCTAGTCTTTAGATCCTGGCTTTATATGAAAAAACTGTTTGTAGCCTCAAATGATCTCTGATGACCTTTCTAGAGAGCAGGCTAGCAGCAAAAGACACCTTTGTTGTCACTAGTAAGTAGTAGTCCAAATCATTGTGATTCTGAAATATTTTTACTGTTCCTCCTGACCTGGCAGGCTGACATGACCTCAACCTGGGGTCAAAAATTTCATATGTTGTCAAAAAATGATGCACTACAAGCTACTCCAAGCGGTGAGGCGCTTCGCACCAGTTTTTTTATTCACACGCAAAAAACTGGACAGGGTGGTAACAAATGCCCCCCCCCCCCCCCACTGGGGCAAAGGTTAAAACCACTGGGTAAATACTATTAGAATTGTTTTGTGGCGACCTACATGATGGTACTTTCCATTTCCCACTGTTGAAGCTTCTTCCTTATCCATGGATGCCTAGACAAAATCATTGCGTCAGATTTGAGGTTAGGTAAGGTCTGGTTATGTTTCTTTTTTAATATTTTGGAGACACCTACCTTATCATCATATCTGGATTTAGCTTGTTAAAGGGACCCTCCCACCTTCAAAAAAGTTAATGAATTGGCATAAAAGTGATATCCCTTGGTTCTGAAAGATCAAAAATTAATATCTACCAAATTTCACCAAATAATATTCACTAGTTTACAAGATATTAGGCTTTTACTTTTGTTTACTTTTTGGAATCTCTGCTGTTCCTAGCGACTATTTGAAAGTGCGGCCCTTGTTGCGCTTAAACAGCATATACCGCAACGTGCTACCAAACGTTTTAGTAAAACATTTTAAATCGTTAGATCTCCACTGACATCATAAATTTTAAGGGGGCATTACAGTGCAGTAGCCCCTTAGAATCCGAAAACTGCAAGTTTGAAATTCCATATATCCGAATTAAAGCATTTTTCGATGTTGTTGTGAGTGCCCAAACCGGTACTGAAGGCCATGGCCACCAATTTAGCTATCTCAACTCAAAACTAATGTTGAGGTGGGATGGTCACTTTAAAAATGGAAGAATACATATTACGTAAGTAGGCACTACTTACTTCTGAAAAGTGAGTCGATGCTATTATATACCGAACTTACCATGCTGATCCATCTCAATCTCCAAATGAAGATCCCTCGTTTTCTGTGTGAGTCCGCTCAGAATGATAATTCTATAGATGGCCTTGATGAGAATAAGTTGAAGTCAAAGTTGAAGAGTTTTATACAACAGCCTTGAGTTGACGTTGTTGTTGTTGTTGAAGAGTTAGGGGCCTTGAGTTGAGGTTGAGTCCAAGCGCGCATCACAACAACGCGCGCGCGGTCTCACGTGCTACTCAGGGGGGTTCGCTCCCGTGCCTTCAGCATTACGAAAAATGGCAACAGCCCGTGAGCAGCATCAGCGCTCACGCACATGTTCAAGGAAAACAACGTGTAATTAGCTGCTGACGACGGCCCTCTCCACCAATCAGCGCTCGGTTACTCGAGCGCTGATTGGCTGGTAGCAAACGCGTCATATGTGGGTCTCTTTTTTTGCTATCAGTGAACGCGTTATTTAATACACAGTGGCCTATGGAGAATGGCACGCGGAATTGAAGGTCAGTGTTTTATTGCTTCGTACATGCGAATGGGGGTATTTGAGTGGCATTTGACAGCATTTTCGAAATCTACAGTGAATTTCTGATCGACTCATGTATATATTTTTATGAATTTGACAGTATTAGTGCTACATAGTCGGTGTTTTATGTTGGTGTGTTTTCTCTCGACCTTTGTCTTGGACTTTAATCATATCTTTTCTCGAAAGTGCTTGCCATAACCAGGTCTAAACTGTATCTGTATAAAGGGAATATGTGTTGAATATGAGGGGAAAGTAGTAATGACCATTCTGCCTATCAAACTGCCAGAAGGTGTGCTTGTAAGGTGATTGAAACTGCAGTACGGGTTGCAGATGTGGGTTTGACATTAGCATTGTTGTTGTAACCCCACTTGCTCTAATAAAATGGCAACATGGGGTTATGTACACAGTACACACTATTGCACAGCCTGGTATCAAGCTGGTTGATATGTGGAGGATAATGAAAGCATAAAAGAATAGGAGCGTTGCGTCTTGTGACTTATGTCAAGTCATTTTAAATCAAATGATTGTGATTGTAACTTTTACTTCAATTATTATTGAAAGTTTTGACCTTTTTAATCATCAATTTTTATGTGTACCAATTTCATATGCCTGTGTAATGTCTGTGCGGCTTTGTGCAGTGTGCGTGTCTTGAAACAAACCAATTTATTTTGTACCTTTTTGTACTTCAACAAATGTATGTCAAAGGACAAAAATGTCATGTCTATTATCATTGACACTACTACAGCTAACTTTGCCTGTATTCCTATCTTTCAGAGGCATTCAATTCAATCTGCTTTCCAGTGCAGTACCAAGGAGGCTGCAACTGAAACTCGCACAAAGGCAATCAAGTGTCACTTCATCATCCTACAGTAACAGCCCATCTGTAATCAAGATATGGATGAAGGGGCATAGAAGAACAACCAGTTCAAACATGAAAAGATTGTATTTTGTTTTGGACTATTTCTTAGCATAACAGAACAGTACACTTGCTGCTTTTTATGTTTGCCCTGTGTGCAGTTTTGAATAGTTTTAACCATGAGATGCTTTTGTCAACTATTCTCTTTACATAAGCTTCCTTTGTCATGCATGTGTAATTTTGAGTTTACATGCATAATGTAGGCACATTTCCCTTGGCTTCATAGAAGTTAAAACTACTTGCAAGCTTTGGTTATGGACATTGGTGCTATATATGATGCTTCAAATGTGTCCAGTAGTTGATGAAGGGAGAAGAGGAGTAGGACAGCTGATAGCTATTACCAAGAGTATGTGCTTGTCTGCACTTCAGGCTGTTTTACTTCCTTGAGTTAAAAAACCCTCATCTTTTGTTTCTTTCCTGTGTGCCTATTGTTTCCATGGTGCTATACATAAACGTCAAGTTTGAAGTTGGTATCCAAGTGAGCAAAATGTGTATTATTTCAGTCCGTCTTGAATCATTCGTCTTGAATTATATCCCTAACTGACATCCTGTTATTTGTCCTGCAATGTCTGTGCCTGTGTCCGACCTTATCTCCGGCTCCAGCCTCCAACCAGCCCTGCTGAGCTCTGTCGCCGGCGCGGTGTGTCGCAACGTGCTGTTTCTCCACTCCAGCCGACAGCTGCTAGGAATCGTCCTGTGCCATGCGCCATGCGACACAGCAATTGTAAGCTGCAGGTCACATTCGGACTGATTGGCTCCGCGTATGTGCATCCGGCCGGGAGCTAGTCGATATCAGGGACGTGGGTCGGACTGTTGTGGCGGCGTGCACTGTGCTGGTTGAAGTTGTATTTCTGTTAGTGAAAAGCATTAATACATAACCGTGGCCGCAGCCCAATGTTATTGTGGATTTCAGAGGGAGTGGCCAGTCAGGAGGGCCCCATGTGGGTATGGATCCAGTGTCCAGTGGGATTGGCTAAGATTTCCGGCGATTGATAAACGCTTCTATGATAGTAAACCTATTGAGTTATGAGGGGAGGTCACGTGACGGACCTGAGCTTACTAAACTCTCGTGAAAACACGACACATACGAACGGTAAGAAACCGACAACTCTTCTTTCTGCCAAGTGTCATCTTTCTGTGAAGGATTTCTTGGCACTGAGTGTTCAGAAATTGCGTTGTTTTTGGACTGTGCAGAGGCTCACGAGCGACAACATAGGTCAACAACCTGACCTACCTTAAATATGCGACTTGTACCATAAGATCCAGCTTGATCAAAAGATAGAACATGTCAAATTTCATCTCTTTATCTCAAAAGAATTTTGAGCTATCGTAAAAACCGCCAGTGTGGCACCATATCGCCTCCGCGCGCGGTCGGAAGGTAAAAGTTCGCCGGCTCTAACTAAACAAATTGTCGTCGTATCGCAAATTCATTGACGGCGTTCGAAGCGTCGTTTAATTTACTTTCGAATCATATCCTAACATTACCATTTAACTGCCTAGCGCAATCACCAGCAAGCAAAAGTTCCGCGCATCCCTCCTCATACAGTGTTAGCGGCGGCCGGCCGCCGGCCGCTGACCCACATTCGCGTCATCAGGGAATGCCGCAACTAATTTATTGTTTCCAACTTTTTTCCCGGAGCGTTCTACCTGGTTTATATAGCCTTGGTGCTACTGCATCAAAACTGCGTCATGAATGTCGAAACCCAAGGCTCAGGGTCATCCACAGGGGAGCAATGCCGCTTCAATCCTATTGGCCGTGGTGTCTAACGGTGGCGGCCATATTGCGCAGACCAAGAACCGGCCGCCGCCTGTGTTGAGGAATAGGGAATTCGGGACCTCGATTTACGTTTGCGGCCGCCGCATCCGTTACGTTCAAGTTACGTAGATACGGAACCCAGCATCTTACGCAGAATTGAGTGGGGAACACGATCGTATCTTCAGAATTCCTTAAATTCACTCGCCGGACCTACATTTGCCCCGGCCGATGGGGTTGATTGAACCCACCTCGCTAATGCGCCGCTAATTTAACTAGAATTAAGCGGTAAAGTGGTCGTATGCGGCAAAGTATAATGCAGAGTGACTGGAAGGAACCCGCTGTAAAGGTCTCAGGTCAACCAGTGACCTCTGAGGTCAGGTCAAGTGATCTAAGGCAAGGGTTCGGTTTTTGGTAAATAACTTCGCCAAAAATGGCTTAAGAGCCGCGATTTTGGCATCATCGTGTTCAGCTAGCTCAGGCGCATCGAATGATATACTTTTTGTTCGGGTCAGGTCAACTTAGGGTGTTGACCTCAGGTCAAGGTCAGGTCAGCACCCCCAGGTCACGAAGTTGGTCGAAAGAGGTCATGTCGCATATCATTCGATTCGGCAGGTCTTCCTGAGTCCATTGGTGGCTTTCCCGACTCGCTAGCTCAATTTGATCGGGAGTTATTGAAGAAAAATTGTGACCCTTGTGACGTCACAAATGACGTCACGCAAGGGCAACAATGTAAATATGAAGCATAGAACCTTGCAAGGAGTGCATGAAATCATGATTCTATATGCTTGAGATAGTTTCAGATCATTCTCGGCGCCAAAATAGCAATTTTCATATTTCCCCATTGACTTATAAGGGTTTAACGTATTAGTTCCTTATATCTGAGGATTTTTTAGGATTTCATCTTGTTCTCCACTCAATTCTGCGTAAGATGCTGGGTTCCGTGTCCACATAGCTTGAACGTAACGGATGCAGCGACCGCAAACGTAAATCGAGGTCCCGAATTCCCTATTCCCCAACACAGGCGGCGGCCGCTTTCTGGTCTGCGCAACATGGCGGCACCGTTGGACACCATCTGGCGGCCGATGCGCATTCCACATGGGTGACATTCATAAGTACCAGAGTACAATTGTACCCAGGTTACACCGGGGCCAAGGTTACACAGGGGCCCAGGTTACGTTCGGCCCCAGGATTTGAAGGGACCATGAAGACGCAAGTACCATACTGTGATTGGTCGTTGGCAGACGGGAATGACGTAATGCATCCATGTGGCGGCCGTGACGTTGACCAATAGGAGGGGCGGATACAAATTTGGACCACCTTGGTACACTACTTGGCAGTGTGCTTGGGATATTTTCCCGAGATTGAATTGAGGTAGCGCCGTCCATCGCCCGCCGCGGCGGCGCCCAGGCCCGATGGTCATCCGGTGTGGCGGGAGGTAGCGTCCCTCGGCCCCCCGCGCGGCGGGAAGTAGCGTGCTGCGGCGTCCGAAGGAGAAGTGAAAATGACCCCTTGCACGAATTAGTGTTCGCAGCGGCTACTTAAATTGCAGGAGGGGGAGGAGGCAGGGGCGTCGCCACGGATTTTTAAGTGGGGGGGGGGGGTCGGGTTTCCGGTCTTCGTCTTGATGGGTAGAGGTGTTATTAGCCACACTCCCGGTTTTTTCATGTGTTGAGAAAAATCTCGGCGCGCAGCATAGGCGCGGGAGCCGGGGGGGCAGTGGGGGCAGCTTGCCCCCCCAACTCTAGGGCCGTGGGGGCGGTGCCCCCACAACTTTGAGACGAAATACCGCACTTTTTTGCAAATGTTTTTTCTTTTTTTGTTGAAAAAGCCAAGGGTTGAAAAATAAGTGGCCTAAAACCGGTGAGAAAACTAGATTTGGGGGTACCCTAGGTTGATCTCCATTATGGTGTGCCCCCCCAGTCTGAAAGTAGTTCCCGCGCCTATGGCGCGCAGCGCCACGAAAGCAGCGGTGTATCTTATTGTACAATTACATACTACATACATCACTTTTGCATCGTGCATAAAAATCGAGCACAGGCCACCTGAGGTCAGGTCA